GACAGATGCACATAATTCATTTAGCTTCTCCATGAACGGCTTAGTGTTTCTTGGGTGCTTCTTTAACACCTGAATCATCCAGTATCCCCACTGATTGTGTGCCAGGCTTCCTGCTTCTGTTGTACTTTAAAATAAAACCCGATGTTAGTTTTTATGTATTCTTTTTTGGTCTACCTAATTATACTTTCCTTTTCCAGGGAAGCAAAATCCTATAAATTTTGCATTATATTAATGAAAATTAGAGCTGTCAAGCGATTAAAAAAATTAATCATGATTAATCGCGCAATTTAAAAAATTAATCACGATTAATTGCACTGTTAAACAACAATACAATACCATTTATTTAAATATTTTTGGATCCTTTCTATATTTTCAAATATATTAATTTCAATTACAACACAGAATACAAAGTGTACAGTGCTCACTTTATATTTATTTTTTATTACAAGTATTTGCACTGTAAAAAAACAAAAGAAATACGGTAGTATTTTTCAATTCACCTAATACAAGTACTGTAGCGCAATCTGTTTATCATTACATTTGAACTTACAAATGTAGAATTCTGTACAAAAAGCTGCATTCAAAAATAAAACAATGTAAAATTTTAGAGCCTGCAAGTCCACTCAGTCCTACTTCTTGTTCAGCCAATCGCTCAGATAAACAAGTTTGCTTACATTTGCAGGAGATAATGCTGCCCACTTCTTGTTTACAATGTCACCTGAAAGTGAGAACAGGTGTACTCATGGCAGTGTTGTAGCCGGCGTCGCAAGATATTTACATGCCAGATACACTAAGGATTCACATGTTTCAACCACCATTCCAGGGACATGCATCCATGCTGATGATGGGTTCTGCTCAATAACGATCCAAAGCAGTGCGCACCAACGCATGTTCATTTTCATTTTCATTATCTGAGTCAGATACCACCAGCAGAAGGTTGATTTTCTTTTTTGGTGGTTCAGGTTCTGTAGTTTCTGCATCGGAGTGTTGCTCTTTTAAGACTTCTAAAAGCATGCTTCACACCTCATCCCTCTCAAATTTTGGAAGACACTTCAGATTCTTAAACCTTGGGTCGAGTGCTGTAGCTATCTTTAGAAATCTCACATTGGTACCTTCTTTGCGTTTTGTCAAATCTGCAGTGAAAATGTTCTTAAAATAAACATGTGCTGGGTCATCAGCCAAGACTGCTATAACACGAAATATGTGGCAGAATGTGGGTAAAACAGAGCAGGGGACACACAATTCTCTCACAAGGAGTTCAGTCACAAATTTAATTAACGCATTGTTTTTTTAACGAGTGTCATCAGCATGGAAGCATGTCCTCTGGAATGGTTGCCGAAGCATGAAAGGGCATACGAATGTTTAGCATTTCTGGCCCGTAAATACCTTGCAATGCCAGCTACATAAGTGCCATGCAAATGCCTGTTCTCATTCTCTGGTGACATTGTAAATAAGAAGCGGGCAGCATTATCTCCTGTAAATGTAAGCCAACGTGTTAGTCTTGGCGATTGGCTGAATGAGAAGTAGGACTGAGTGGACTTGTAGGCTCTGAAGTTTTACATTGTTTTGTTTTTGAGTGCAGTTATGTAACAAAAAAAATCTACATTTGTAAGTTGCACTTTCATGACAAAGAGATTGCACTACAGTACTTGTATGAGGAGAATTGAAAAATACTATTTCTTTTGTTTATCATTTTTATAGTGCAAATATTTGTAATCAAAAATAATATATACTTTGATTTCAATTACAACACAGAGTACAATAGATATGAAAATGTAGAAAAACATCCAAGATATTTAATAAATTTCACTTGGTATTCTATTGTTTAACAGTGTGATTAAAACTGCAATTAATCGTGATTAATTTTTTTGAGTTAATCGTGTGATTAATTGACAGCCCTAATGAAAATCCTCTACAGCAACATTTCAGCCATTGAAAGCTCTGTATGAAATGCCCTCAACTAGTTTCACTTGAGCTCCAAATACAAGTCCAAAGCAGGCCTGGCCTGTGCTTCGCTCATTGCATTTGCTGTTAGCTATGTCTGTAGTGTAATGTTGCTCAGAAACTCCATCTGATTTTTAGGGTTTGGTTTGCTGAATCTGTATATTAACTAGCATTGGCTCAGGCTGTTAGTCCATGTTATCCACCTGGCTATAAAGCACTGATGGACGCATGGCCAATAGTCTGTATGCATATGTCTTTTCTCCAGGTCTTGGCTTTGCTGATGCTGTTGGAGGAGGGGGTCTGTATGAGGAGTCATGCTTGCAGTCTGCTCAGATATTTATGCAATCATAAATTTTCTTCCCCTTTCACTGACTGCAGCCCCACACTGGAAGTTGAGAGAATTCCCTCACAAATCTGAATGCCAGCAGGACTATTTCAAAGGAGACACAAGTTGTAACATGCCATACGATGCAAGGATGTGTATCTTGTTCTGTAAACTATCAAGAATTATTTCTTTTTAATTTCCAGCAACCACAGGACAAGCCATAAACTGTAAAAAAAACTATAAAAAACTAAGAGGAAACCTGATGGCTGGAGCTTGCTGCTGAAAAATGTATTAGAAAAGGCGGAGTCATTAATTTAAAAATATGGGGCTAGATTCTGCTCTCAGCTACACAGGGAGTACAATGCAGTGTTCCTACACATTTTTACCCTGGAGTTTGGGTGCTTGGCACTTCCCAGGATCAGGCACTTACGTCAGTCACATAGCAGTCTAACTGAGTGCAGAACTCGACCCAAGTTTAAGACAAAGGTACATCTCAAAATTGCCATTACATGATATAAGGAGAAGTGATACCTTTTATTTGTAGAGAAGGAGTGAGGCTTTTAAAAGCACTAAACATACTGATAGCTAGCTAGCACTGTCAGAAGGAAGGAGGATATGGCTTTCTCACATTTTTACTATCCTGGTGAGTCCTCCTCAACTTAGTTGCAAAATCTCCTGTTTCTCCACCCCCAGCAGCTCTTCAGCACCCATATTCTTAAGGCATTTTTGCTTTTATTAATATGCTCAGAGATCTCACACTGATTTGGGAGTGCTCCAAAGAAACCAGAGTAATCACAGGATTCTACTGGATCTTGTGCAACAGCCTATCCTGGCTTTTCTGGGGCTAAGTTTCCTTACTTGTAGTCTCCTTAATGACCAATCTTCAGCCTTCACCAGATGGCTGGTTTTAGAGGATTGGGAAATAATATATTAGTAGTAAATTGGCAGCAATTCCTTAGTTGTATTAAAGTCCACCATCTGAATCTGACTGGTAGTCAAGGCAGCCTCCCCTTTCAGAAAAGACTAGGGTTTGATTAATTATAAGGAGCTGATCGGGAGATTATGACAGGCAACAGCAACAAAGGCAACCCCCGCCACCCCCCCAGATAAAATACTGTACAAGTCTGTGGTTAAAAGGAACCCATTTCCTGCAGTGATCAACAGAGGAGTGAAAAGAAGAGATTGTCTTATTTTCTAAATAAATGCCCCTCCCCCCATTTTTGTATGTTAAAAACTGTAGACCTGTTTATAATTGATGTTGTGGGTCACTTACAAATCGGCTCTATATTTGTTTAGCAAAAGGTGTGCTGGGTGTGTGGGGAGAATTATTACAAATCCCCTTGATGTTTTACAAAGGAAGAAAAGCAGTTCAGGATCCTAGTCCGAGTTTTTGCCTCTTCACACTGTAAATAACTGACCCCGGGTCACATTGCTTATCCACTTCACCCTTTGGAGGCTGTTTCCTGGAGAAGCCCAGAAATTCAGAGCCTTCTGGTTTCCATTTCTGTCCACTAGCGACCCCTACCTCTAGAGAGCGCAATCATCCGACATGGTTTGAATTCTTTCCACGTTGATTTCAGACCAAGCGAGCTGTACTGAGTATTTCCCAGCACATGGGCCACGGATCCTTTGCATTAGGGGGCCCCAAAAGGAAAGCACGACGTGTGGATCAGAAGGCAAATAGTATTGCGCTCTGCACGTGATGGTCTTTGGAGCGTAACACGCTTCACATTCCCCTGTCACCGGAATCAAATCTACAGAAACCAGGAATTTCAAGCGCTGTCTTTCTGTCCCAAACAGCATCTCGGGCTGTTCCGAACTGGTCCTGGCAACGTGTGGACAAGCGCGCAGCGCCGTGCGTACACCCCAACGCCTGCGCTCCCCGCTCAGCGCCCCACAGGGGCTAGTTACGGGGGACGTTCACCGCCCCTCCCCCCAGCGTGGTCCTGGGGGAGGAGGGGGTAGCCCCGCCCTCTGCAATGTATCCAAGTCCCATCCCCTCTCCCCCCTTCCCCGTTGGGTGAAATCCAATCACCGTCTTTCCTCCCCGCCCCTGTGGAGACGGGGAAGCGTCACAGACGTGCTATTGTTATGCAAATAAAAGGCTGCCTAAAAGGAGCTGCCCAGGGTATCCTGCCCGCGAGAGACGCCCAGGGACGTGGCTGAGGGGGGATTGGCCCTGAGGAAAAGGGGGGGATCTGCTGCAAGACAAGAGCCCCGCTGGGATACGCACAGCAGCTTCCCCCCGTCTGCCCCCGGCTCCGGGCACAGCCGCCGAGGCTCCGAGCACCACCTCGCCCGGCCAGCAGCCAAGCGCGGCAGCCGGGCTGCAGCTGGATGCGCAGCCGGGGCAGATAGCAGCAGCGGCGGCAGCAGCGGGGCGCTTGCCGGCCGCCAGCCTCACGCACCCTGGGAGCCGCACGGAAGCTGCTGGGCCGCGCTCGGCACGGGGCGCGGGGGGGCGCGCAGCCGCCCCGCGGGGGAGCTCGGTGCCCAGGGGGTCTCTTAGCCGGGCCTGATCCGATCCGCCAGCCCCCGAGCTGCCCCGCGCCCCGGCCCCCCGCCACCGGCACCGCCACCGCCACGCTCGGATCTTTGCTGGCTTCCATGAGCATCCGCGCCCGGGCACTCAGCCGCAGGGTGCACCGCTTGCGCGCCGAGCCCCCGCGCCTCGCTTCGGGCTCGCGGAGCGCCCGTGCCGAGCTGGGGGAGGCGGAGCGGGGCCCGGAGACCTGCGCCCGCCCGGCACCGCTGCGCCCGGATCCAGCTGCCCGGCCGCGGCCATGAGCCAGACGGAGCTGTCCACCTGCTCGGCCCCGCAGAGCCAGCGCATCTTCCAGGAGGCGGTGCGCAAGGGCAACACCAAGGAGCTGCAGTCGCTGCTGCAGAACATGACGAACTGCGAGTTCAACGTGAACTCGTTCGGGCCCGAGGGGCAGACGGCCCTGCACCAGTCCGTCATCGACGGCAACCTGGAGCTCGTCAAGCTGCTCGTCAAGTTCGGCGCGGACATCCGCCTGGCCAACCGCGACGGCTGGAGCGCGCTGCACATCGCCGCCTTCGGGGGCCACCAGGACATCGTGCTCTACCTGATCACCAAGGCCAAGTACTCCGCGGGCAGCCGGTGACGCTGCGGCCGCCGGGGCCGGGCACTGGCTCCTCGCGGGACAGGCTGGGCTGGCGGCCTGAGCCCCCC